GGTGATGATCCGACGATGATAAAGATGATGACAAGGATGATAACTATCATCGTAGCATCCTTAGCATCACCAACGGCTGTGATGAGAACTATCATCGCAGCATCCTCTGCATCACCAATGCTGCGTGATAAGAGATGACGACGGCCATGATGAAAATGGCACGGGCGTGATGATCGTTATCATCCGCGTCATGACAACTATCATCACAACATCCTTTGCATCACTACTTGTTCCTTGATAACTATCATCGTCGCATCCCTTGCATTGCCAAGGATGTCTAACGTCCCTTTTGATTTCTACACATAATAAGATGTTAGATGATGCTAGGTGATGATCAGATGATGACAAGGATGATGACAAGGATGATAACTATCATCGTAGCATCCTTAGCATCACCAACGGCTGTCATGATAACGATCATCGTAGCATCCTCTGCATCACCAATGCTGCCTGATAAGGGATGACGACAACCATGATGATAATGGCACGGGCGTGATGATCGTTATCATCCGCGTCATGACAACTATCATCACAACATCCTTTGCATCACTACTTGTTCCTTGATAACTATCATCGTCGCATCCCTTGCATTGCCAAGGATGTCTAACGTCCCTTTTGATTTCTATATATATATATAAAGATATTAGATGATGCTAGGTGATGAGAAGATGATGACAAGGATGATAACTATCATCGTAGCATCCTTAGCATCACCAACGGCTGTGATGAGAACTATCATCGCAGCATCCTCTGCATCACCAATGCTGCGTGATAAGAGATGACGACGACCATGATGAAAATGGCACGGGCGTGATGATCGTTATCACCCGCGGATAATTATTATCGTAGCACCCTTGGCATCACTAACGGCTGTGATGATAACTATCATCGTAGCATCCTCTGCATCACCAATGCTGCCAGATAACAGATGACGACGACCATGATGATAATGATGAGAAGGATAAGAGAATAGCTGCCAGATAACAGATGACGACGACCATGATGATAATGATGAGAAGGATAAGAGAATAGGAAAGAGATGATGATAAGAATGATGCTGATGACGATGACTGTGATGATAACAATCATCATAGCTGCTGATGCTGATGAGGATGAAGCTTTGGTTTTACTTATGCGCCAACCACCCTTCCCGTACGCCTCCCCTTTTTAGAGAAAGGGTCGGCGGATTACTTGGGGATCCAATTTGTATTTCAGCTTTGGACAGTAGAATTTGCCGGTTTGCATGAAAGTATGGTCCCATTTCCTGAATGAGGGAACATGATATTCATACCCCCCCCCTCACATCGGATTGGCTTGGGCTTGGCCCGTCCGCTCTCCGTTCCTGTGTGGACTGTGTGGACTTGGCCGATAGGACCGCAATGGGAATGTAACAGGAAACTGCCAAAGAAACAAAGAACCTCCCCTCCCCTCCCCCCAAAGAACACTCAGTTGTCCAAAGCCGACCTTTTGACCTTTTGGCTTTCCCATTTTGGTCCATTTTTAGCAGAGGTGCCAAAGGGTTAACCACTTAGTTCTGGGTCCTTTGGGCAACTGAGAACAACTTCCCTTTGCTTTTTCCCAAGTGCCGGAGAGGGCCTTTGGCTTGATCGGAGGGCCGATACCAGCTTCGTCCATCCGCAGTTCTCTGCGACGGTTGTTGGAGTCCAAACCTCGCTGGTGCTGTGATTTGGCCATGGTGGTGCTGTCATTGCAAGAGTCATGAGTCATGCCTTCTTCGTGCCGTTGGCAGTGTTGGAAGGTGCAAGGATCTGGCCTTGTGTGCGGGTCAGCATGCGTCATTGGCTGGGCACAGGACATATGTGAGCTTTTGCCAAGAATCTTTGCGGCCAGAAAAATCCCGAAACTATGACATGGTTTCTATGCGAAGAGACAGGCACGTCTCTTTCTATGTAGGGGAATCTAAAAGTATTGACTTGCCGACGAGCTGGTTGCCGATACACACAAGAGCCGGCTGAGGATGATCACGTTCTACTCCACAGCCATCCATGCCACGATCTGGGCGCCGAAAGCTGCGCAAAGTGGCAACGCGGCCTTCCTGCAGAGCACTCGCTTCCTGCTCTTCCGCTTTCGGGTGGACTATTGGTGGATCCTTGGAAGTGGATCGGGGGCCGAGCCGAGGGGCCGAGGGGATGGGCTGAGACTTGGGATTTGCATGTTTCACGTATTTTTCCAGCGACTCAAAGGGAAGCAATAGAGTATAGATGCTATAACTGGGCCTAAGTCGAATCCTTGGGGGGGGAGGGGGGAAGGGATGGGCTGAGCTGATGACGCCCCGTTCCAGGAGGCGCAACGTCTGAGCCTCCTGGCCTTGCGATTCTTGTGCCAGAAGGCTGTCTTCCATTTGCTGAAATGCGTATGGCTCACAATTGAAGAGCTGGGGGGTTACGAGGGCAACCCATTTTGGTACCGGTAGTTTGACCCACAGCCAAATGCGTTGTTTTTGCTTTGTTTTATCTTGTTGGCTTCAAAAGGCATATATCACTGCTGGATGTTCATTTTTAAAAGGCAACGTCCTCCAACTTGTTTTCTTGAGAGAAAGCCAAGATTGGCGCTCGTGCGAAGGTGCAAATGAAATAGCGCAGGACTTAAAAGACCTTTGACATGGCTGATCACGTTATCCTAAGACTAGGTGTTTCACCTTTGAATTGACTTTAGCAATACTTGTTCGACACTTTCTGAGGAGTTTTGCAGGACTTGCTTTGCCATTGCTTCAGTTTGGTTTCGAGCAGTCCCCCTCGCAGTTTCGGAGGTAGGGTTGTCTCAAAATGGAAAGCCTCTAAAATGGTGGGGGTTTCTTTATGGCTGCCCTTGAAACCAATCCAAAACAGAAAAAAGGCACACGCAGCTCAATCTTGGGCTCAGTTGAGCAAGGCGAATCGACCTTTTAACCTTTTAATTTTCCTATTATGGTCCATATGTAGTCAAGGTCACAAAAGGTTAATTTAGAATACTATATATATTTTTTCTCGGCAAGTCAAGTCTTTTCTAATTAACTTTCCTCTACCATCATCATCCAATCTTAAGATTCTGAGGATATTGATTGAGAATGGTCAGGTGATGATTAGTGGTCAAGATGTCTATATTCTACCTGCATTATTAATCCCCAGGTACCATCCAACACTAAAAGCTGCCACGGAAGAACTGGGTGGATTAACGAGTTCCAGGCTATCACCAACCAAGTGGTCCACCTAAAGTCAGCCGTGGAAGCTGGGTGAGGCTGGATCATGGCTGTTCAGGCGGGGGGAATTATCCCTCTCTCTCCTTCCTTGCACCTCCCTCAACTCAGTACTTTTTTGGGAGAGGGTGCCCCTACTAAAATAGACTACAGGAAAAAATCGGGTACCCTTATTCTAACCTCTCTGCTGGAGGACCAGGACTCTATTAGATTTACATCCATACACTGGAGGTGGGAAGGAGACAGATCAGATACAGGATAGGAGTTTGGGCTCTCTCCACAAATTGACATGGAACCCAAAAGGAGTCTCCTCTACGGATGGCTGGGTTTTTGGGTGGGCCCCATGTTGATTTGGGGAGCTTCCCCTTTTCTCAGTTGCTCAGTGGCACCCTTTGTCCTTTTTTTTTGGTGGCTGCCCCACTAAAACCAAGAAAGGTTCCCTTTTTTCCAGGGTCACTGAACAACTGAGTTTCATATTTTCAGGTGGGCCAGGGAGTTCCACTCAGGTACGGTACTTTCGTTCTGCCTCGTGGTTGGTTGCTCTCCATGGCCATCGTGGTGGCTGCGGACTCCCCGTATATGCAGATGCTGATGACTCTCGGTCACGTGTATTGGTGTGTCTTCAGGTTGGGGACCCAACCAATGGTCAGCTTCCCGAAAATGTTCGTTGAAACCAACCCCCAAAAGGGGTGTCCAGAAAAAGGGCTAGCCCGCAAACGGCCATGTCAACATATAAATTAACGTCATCCGATGACGTGGGGGATACTCACCAAAGTAATAGGAAATGGGGGGGACACAGTGCAGAATACCCGTTGCTCATATCATGGTGGGTAGAGTTCGCGAAGACCCAACCAAATGCGTGGACGCTGAATGACATTACCTGACATTGTGCGAAGAGTATGACATGGAAGACAAAAGAGGCTTGAGCACGGAGATTCGCACCGATTTCTGGTTCGGCCGGAGACAACCGCAATCCGTCAGCGGAGTTGTTGGGACTGGGAAGTGCTAGGATCATCACCATTATGCTCATCTATCTGGTGGTGCAGCTTATTACCTGGCCCTGGAAGCTGCCGGCGCTGAACGCCTTCGACGGCACCATCAGCGCTCGGATCTCGGATCCCGGCGCACTTTTGTCCCATGGGCGTGTCCCACGGCCATTCGCCACTACAACCAAGAAACGGAAAATGAGATGAACAGTAGTGCAACATACTTTCATGGGAATGGTTGCCACGGCAGAGAGCCCTGTCAACACTTGGCAGCTTGTTTCTCATCGGTTCTTGTTTCTTTAACGATAGCAAAGGGACAAAAGGAGAGTAGACATGTCAGCCCTGCTTTGGCATACTGCACGCGAGCAGGCGCGTGTAGCCACTTTTTGACCGCCGGCTGGTGAGCTTCTCGCGTAGGCGGTGAGCGTAGGCTCGACTTGACACTTTGCCCGTAGGCTCGCGCTCGGGTACGAGTCTTAGCACGACGCGCACAACGCATAGGCACTTTGAGAGCAAAACTGCTCACGGCGCGCGTAGACGTTTTTAGGCTGACATGCTTTGCTGAGTGTCGTCTCGCATGGTATTTGTAGCAATACCTTCCCAAGAAAGACACTTCTGTCATGTGAGCCACAATCAAAACCCGGGTAGATGAGGTTAGTAAGGGGCAGTCCCAGCAAGAAATAGTTGCGGCCGCCTTCTGAATTCTTTACATGGTTCTGGGTAGACTATTGTAATAACGGGTTTTGAGCAAGTGACTCTTGCGTTGGCCAATTTAGAAGTGTCCAAAGTCGGCTGAAACCAAAGAGTAAAGACATCGTTTGCCGGCGTCTCGTGGAAGCAGAGGCCTGCCTCCTGTTGATGATGGCCATTCTGGGCGCATTTGCGCCAGCTGTCACCGAGGACCAGTCCAGTCTCGGCTTCTGGGGAGTAGGATGTGCTAAGCGTATATGTATACAATATGCAACTGATGTACGTGTGTATAGAAATACATATATATATATATATGTATTAATATATGCACGCATACACTATACACATGTAGACTCATATAAACACCACGGGCGTGTGTGTGTGTGTATATATATATATACATGAATAAAGAAATTGAGCCACATGGTTGGCTTGGAAGCTTGCTCCGGATGTTTGAGGCATGTTGCTGCTGACGCTCAGTCTCTGTAGGGAAGAAGGATTTTTGCAGACGTCTACTCAGCTGAGTGATCAAGAGTGACCCCACAAGTGGTGGGAGTTGCAATATCACCCGTGATGAAGGTTCCTCCATACGGATCCTGTACGTTCGGCTGGCGAAATATGAAGTAAAATATGACTTCGCATGGCAGCTGTTTCTTGCAGGGACGAGCAACCAATGGAGGCGCGCTTTTAGCAGCTGACAACCCCCCGGTATGGGTTTGTCGCAGCTCTCAAAATGGATATTGGCTTTCTTTTGGTGTCCCTTGAAAGCCAATCAAAGGGGGGTTCCACGGAAAAATAATAATAAAATATTTTAAAAAAAATACACCAGCATAGACCCCAGATAGCACACCACGGCTACGAACCATGACGCAGCATTATCATGATGATGTAGACAGCACCATGATGATACCACAGCCACTGAGCATGGTGCGCTACAAACGCGCATACAACGTCCTAATGAGTTCAGCAGCATAATGATGATGTTGAGAGCATCATGCTGATACAGCTCTGATGAGTTCGACAGCATCATGGTGATGCAAACAGCATCATGCTGATGGTAAAGGCAGCATCATGATGATACAGCCACGAACCATCTTGCGACAGCGTATCAGCATCATCCTGATGTTGACAGCATCACGGCGCCACTACAACCACAAACCATAACGCAGCATCGCAGTGACCCCAGTTGTATAATGACGAGGTTGGGAACATCATGACGATACACCAGCCACGAACCGTTCGCGCGCGAACAGCATCCACCAACCAGCACCCCAAACTGCGTGCCCCTCCACCAGCACCCCAAACTGCATGCCCCCTAGCACCCGGCCGTCAAGCTCGCAAAGCAGCATCCACCAGCACCCCAAACTGCATGCCCCCTTAGCACCCGGCCGTCAAGCTCGCAAAGCAGCATCCACCAGCACCCCAAACTGCATGCCCCTTAGCACTCGGCCGTCCAGCTCGCAAAGCAGCATCCACCAGCACCCCCAAATTGCATGCCCCCTAACACCCGGCCGTCAAGCTTGGAAAGCAGCATCCACCAGCACCCCAAACTGCATGCCCCCTAGCACCCGGCCCTCAATCTCGCAAATCACTTTCCACTCTTTATTAGAAGTTAGAACCCCTATAGCTTTCAGCTATCTGGGGAACAAAGAAAAACACTTTTCTACTGAAGGAAAAAGAGGTTGAGAGGTTGAGAAGCTCGCCGGCAGGACTTGCGGCAGGTCCTGACTCAAGCAGCCATGGGAATTGCCGGGGCCCTGATGTGCTCCGATTGAGCGGCACCCACCGTGCTCTAATTGAGTGGGTGAGTAGTGTTTTTTGCTCCTCCATCACATATGTAAAGATTCGGAATTAGAAGAGAATAGAAAACTCAGGTGGTTTTCTACTTGCTGGTCATACTACAGCCTGAGCCTTTGCAACCACGTTGGAAGAAGCAAAAGTCAATGGGTGTTGGGCGCTCGTTTGATTTCTTCGAGACTTCATGCGGGGGTTTGGAACTTGGGATTTGAAGTTTCAGATACTCTCCACTCGATACGTGTGAGGCATCCCGAGCTCTTCACTTTCGAGTCGTCGTTGGTTTGGATTGGTATCACTATTGCGGTTCGATGTGAGTCTCCTTGGCTGGCATTGTTGCGCACAATAGAATGTGCCTTTGTGTTTCTCAACGATGATTGGTGAGCATTGGGGTATGATTTGTTGTATGAACCGGCTCCCTTGGACAGCAGGAATCGCACTGTGGATCTGGCGATGAGGAAACGTTTTCCTTCCATGGACGCCAACCCGGAAATCAACGTTTGGATCTTGGGGAAATGGACATGGGGGCAAATCCGCCAACTACCCTGATGACCTTTCCCCCCCCCCCCCTCCCTCCGGATCAACTTTTCATCTGCTGACGATCTTTCAGGGATCTTGGGAAATGGAAATGGGAAAAATTATGCCGATGATCTTCCCCCCCCCCCTCCGGATCAACTTGTGCTTGGGGAAATGGAAATTTGGAAAAATCCGGACAACAACTTTTGCGCCGGAAATGGAAATATGGAGAAAAATATGCCGATGAGCTTCCAGGTGGGCTTCCTGAACAGCGTGATCTTCGTGATGATGCTCGTCACCGGGGTGGCCGTGGTGAAGATCCACGCCATGGGCGGCGCCAGCGAGTCCAGTTGGCTGGCCCTGGGCCAGGCCGAGAGCGGAGATCAACCCATGGGCGCGTCGGTGCGGAACTTCTTTTTTTTTTTGGGGGGGGGGGTTCCGGCTTTTGGGGGTGGTTTTAAAGCTTTTTGGAGTGGCTTTAAAGCCTTTTTTGGGTGGTGTTAAAGCCTTTTGGGGTGGCTTTAAATGCATTTTTTTGTGTGATGTTAAAGCCTGTGGAGTGGCTTTAACTCCTTTTTTTTGTGGTTTTAAAGGCTTTTGGGGTGGCTTTAAAGCCTTTTTGGGTGGTTTTGGCGTGGAAGCTAAAAGCGTGGGCCACACAATTTCTTGAATAGTGAGCCGGAGCCATTGCGTTCCTTGTTGCCACCAAACTAACTGCGCGTCTTCTGTGAATTAACCCAGAACTGAACTGTTTGACCATACCCAAACCGGAAGTTTGGAGATCAGTCCCCACCATCCGCTTTTCAGGTGAAGAAAGCGCTAATGTCGTGTACTCCGGGTTTGACCCAATTCACAGGGAAACCATACTCCCTTGCTGGCTACGCAAGCTTTGGGCTTTGTAAGGCCCCTGTCATCATATGGGTTGGGTTCCATCATAATCCTTGAGTGAGCGGCAGTGCCTCAAACTTGTGTGATTTCTGGTATCCCAGGAAAGAAACAGTTCGAACTGTTCTTGGCCAATCCACAGTGAGTTTATATCTCGATCCCCAAAGACCTGCCACGAGAGACAAAGACACACCTGAGCCACACTCAAACCCGGGTAGATGAAGAGTAGGGGAGAATCCCAACCGTAGCGTTCTTGAGTCTGTACATGGGTGTGTCTTTTGTTGGGGGTACCCCCTTTTTTGGTTTTAAAGGGATACCAAAAGAAAAGACAGACCCGCATGGTTCTGGGTCCGTTTTAGTACCGAGTTTTGATTGTGACTCGGTTGGACCAGTAGTGCCTGTGAACCACGTCAAGTTGCTTGTTGTTTTTGAGACGGATGCACCTCAAGGCTTTTGAGTCTGACACCTAAGGGGAATAGTTCAGTGGGGGCGTAACGCCGATCACTCTAGGGGTTGATTCCCTCTTTTTTTTGGAACCATCGTTCTTTTCAACAACCGGATCCGTTTCCCCTGGGTTTTGTTTCCTGAAAAGATTCGGATCCCTGGAAAAAATGGAAATGGAAGGTACCCCCTTAGCTTTGGTGCGTTTTGCTTGGATGTTAGGACTTCAACTTTTTTGCCAAATCATGGGTTTTCCATCAAACCACTGAAAATTATTAACTTTTAGCAGGGGAGCAGAAAGCACACCTGAGGGGCACCCCACCCCACCCCACCCCCCACCCCCCCAGCCCCCCACCCGCCCAGCCCCCCACCCCCCCAGCCCCCGTTCTTTTCAACCATCGTTCTTTTCAACAACCGGATCCGTTTCCCCTGGGTTTTTGGATGGTTTCCTGAAAAGATTCGGATCCCTGGAAAAGAATGGAAATGGAAGGTACCCCAGAATCAGGGAATCTAGGTCCTTTCTCACCCCTTTTGGGGGAGGGTTCCCCTACTGAAATAGACTACAGAAAAAAATGAAAAACAACAACATGGGTACCCTACACCCTGACCTCCCCCACTAAGACGTCCTGAACCAAAAACTCGGGTTTCCCCTAAACCCTAACCTCTCAAATCTGGAGGACCTAGTGGTTCAGCGGGAGCCGACAGGTGCCTAACACGCAGTTCCTGGCGGAGAAGGTGGCGATGCTGGCGGAGGCCTTGGAGGAGCTCGAGGATGAGGACACCCAGCAAGGAACATGGGTGGGAGGGGGGGGGGGTGGGCTTGTTGTGCTGTTGATGTGTTTTGTTTCTTCGTTTTTTGTTTTTGTTTTTTTGTTTGTTGTTTGGGGGGGGGGAGGTTTGCTTATTTTGTTTGCTGATTTTTTTGACGGCTTGTGTTTGTTTCTGTTGGTGTGTTGTTTTGTTGTTGGTTCTGTGTTGTCGTGATGTTGGTGTCGGTGCGTTTTTGTCGAACCACTTTGGTGATAGGGTTTGATTTAGAAATGTCAGTGAATGGGACAGCCAATGAATGGGGTAGGACGAGTGGTGTATACTATTCGGGGCCGACATTCCACATCCTTCCATTCGCTGAAGAAATGCGTTATGTTCCCCTGTTGGTTTTAGACGGGAATCTATCTATCATCACCGGAAATATGCGTGCTTTTTCCGGACGCAAACAGCCTGGATGTATCTCTACACATATTCAACATGGTTCTTCTCAACTGCTGAAAGACGGGTCCTTGGAAAGGGGGCAACGAGCTGAGTGATACCAGGGAAACTCCCAGTTTTTGCCGGCTGAGTCATCGGCAAACCAGCGGTACAGCGGGCAATTCCCGCAATAGAAGTTGCCGTTTTTTTTGGCATGGGCAAGGGGCATGTTTGGACCTCAGGGAGTGTTCCTGCCCACGGATGCCGATGTTGAGGACTCGCCCTTTGGTGCATTTCGGTTGGATGTTAGGACTTTAACTTTTTGCCAACTCATTTGGGTTTTCTCCATTAAACCACTAAAAATTAAATTCACTTTCAGCGGGGCTTCGCAGAAAGCCACCGAGTGACAGGGTCCCTACTTTTCAGATGAGGCCGTGTTGCTCGTGCTTCGGTAAGGCGGCGCTTGCCGGAGCTTAAGCATGGCTCGACGTCGCCGAAAACGAGAGCTGCTTACAGTTCCCGTCGTCAGACTTCGGGCGGTTTTTAGACTTCCTTTCGGGCGGGAAGTCGTCGGATTTTCTTAGGTCCCCCAGCTAGCTACCAGGTGATGCGGATATGGAAGGACCGTGCTGCCCGATCTCTCACCCCTTGTTTGGTTGGGAGGGTTCCCAAAACCTAAAATAGACGACTGAAAAAAGAGGGTACCCTAAACCCCGACCTCTCTACTGGAGGACCTAGTTGGGTAGACGTTCCCCATCGGCATCCCTGCTTGGGGCAGGTCCTTGTGCGACCTTGGCTCATTTTCGTTGCTGGGTCCTATGGCCAGTCACTCTGGTCATTCAACGGATGGTCGGGAATCAAGCTCGCAGAGTGGAAAACACGCAGTTATTGCGCAACCAGCAAACAACAAATATTCAGTCCATTTTTGGGGATGTGACTTTTTCCTCGGGCCTTGGTTCAGGTCAAAACAAACCACCATGTTATGTTTCAATAAATCTCAATCAGATTCACAAGTTCACGGCCACATGGATCCGCATTGGCCAAGGATATCAAAGCTGTGCTGGACAAGCTCTCCGTCTACGACTTACGCATGACTCTTGGCTGCATGTGTGCTGATGTAGTAGGTTATCTCGACTATTTCGTTGGACCTGGACCTGGGAACGGTGCGTTTCTGGCAGCTTGCTGTTGCTTGTCTCTGATCGCCTCGGCTATCGAAGAGAAGGCACTATGAAGAGGACCATTGAGGGCGCACAAGCGATTGACAATTCTCCGTACTATGGGCTGCCACGTTGTGCAACAGCAACAACGACGTAGCAAAGACTTGACGACGCCAATGTTCTGACACACTGCATCCTGCCTGCCGGAACCGCCACTTCGCTGGCCGTGAACAACCACTTGTTTTGCAGGCCCTGGATTGCTTTGCATTTTCCCACTTGCACGCATACCTGCGCTAGACGGGAAGTTTCAGTTGCTCCCTTCGTCCTTTTAAGCGGAGTCCGCTTGCGGACACCTGCAGCGCACGCCGGCACGGAGCCGGGCACGCATCCGCGAAGCGCCCAGACCACGCGTACCTGCGCAGGAAGCTAAGATGATAGGGGCGTGCAGATTTCTGGAGGGGAGGGTCTCTGTTGAACAGGTTCGCGCCTTTGCACAGAGCTCCTTTTGCTGGGAACATCCCATGTGCCGAGCTGGGAAGGTTTGCGGGGAAGGCACGCCTTGTCGCATTGTCGGCGCACAAATTTGCAATGTTTAGAGCTCAACGTGCCTGACTCGGCATTTCTTGTGATGAACAATAGGTTGTTTTTTGTCTAAAGCCGGCATAACATTTGATGTGCTGCTGGAAGAAGTAGTGCAGCAATTAGCCTGGATGCAACTTAGGGTTGGCGGTATGTTAGTTGGGAGTGATGCAAATGGCTCAATAATGTATATTCACTCGAATCATTACTTTTGGTTTCAAAGTGCTCCACAACCCCAGAATTCTCTCACTTGCCCAAAGCCGACCGACCGTTTGGCCTTTCGATCTATGTTTTAGTCAGAAGGGCGATCTAATTCTTCAGCGAGTTGAGCCCCGGTTCTTTCAGGGAGAATGGGAAACCACCCCAAAAAAACGACCGCTCCAAGCTCCAAGCCAACAGTTGCAGGGAAGCTGATTTCCTCGCTCCCCAAGTTGGGCGCACTTTTTCGGGGAAGACGACCAACATTTTAGTGGGACATGTATTCATTCGGTTGGCCGATCCACGCAGGAAGTTGGTGTGTTTTTTGTTGTTCAATGCTGCTGGTATTCCTTGCTGGTTGTTGTTTAAGACCTGCTAAAAAGGGGCACTAACTCCAAGAAAGGCAGACCAAATCCACTCCGGAAGTGACTTGTGTGTGTGTGTGTCCTTCCCAAGAATGAGCTCCCCTTGTATCATTGTTTTTGCTTTTTTGGGGTCTTCTCTTGGTTTTCTTTGCTACCTAGGCAAAACAAAAAGGCATCTCGTCTTTTGCTGGGGTCCTAATTCGTTTTCGAATTTTGCCTGAACAGTTTTTTAGGACCCAGGAAAAACAACACGCAACTCGAATTTGGGATCCTCGGTGTTTTGTTCCCCCCGAGTTTTAGTTTACGAGGATCCAGGGGGTGATCACCGCCTTCGGCTCCGAGCTGGGCCACTCCGAGCTGCTGCTGGACCGGCGCGTCACCGTGGTCTCGAGGTTTTCCAACCGCGGCGCGGCGAGAGACGGTGAGATGAGGACGTCTTGGGACGTTGGGCTTTGGGCTTTGGAGGGGAACTCAACCAAGTTGGTGGGTTGAACTTACCCCAAAATAGGTGGGTTTTGGGAGTTTGGTTTTTGAGGGGAAGCCAAGAAATTGGTCAGTGGGACACCAAGGTGGGGAGCCCGAAAAATTGGTGGGTTTTGGGAGTTTGGTTTTTGAGGGGAAGCCAAGAAATTGGTCAGTGGGACACCAAGGTGGGGAGCCCGAAAAATTGGTGGGTTTTTGGAGTTTGGTTTTTGAGGGGAAGCCAAGAAATTGGTTGGTTTTCAGAGAAACACCAAATGGAAGCGACCCATTGTAGGATTTTGGGGCTTCCCTGGGTCATTTGGAGCCTACGCATGGCTCGGGGATTGCTTGGAGAGGATGTGGGGAGTATATAGCAACCCGAAGAAACAACTGGGCGCTGGTTGTCTTCCTTCAAATCGGGTCCCGGACCCTTTGGTGGACATCATTTGCATGAGATTTCATGTCCACCACAACTTTTGTCCGGCAACTTGTGTGGTGGTTCTCTATAGAAATTCATGGCCAAATGGAAACAGTGCCCATATTTTTTCTGAAAACTGTTTTCTTGCTGTTCTTTGGACGCAGGCAAAACGCTGCTATAGCGGCTTGCCTTTTGTCAACGCATGTTGTGTGTGTGTGTGTGTGGTGTGTTTGTTTGTCTGTCTGTTTGTCTGTCCGTCCGGTCGTTCGTTTGCTTGGTTATTTGTGTGTTTGTTGTGTCCGTGTTTGTTTGTTTGCGTATTTGCAGTGTTGTGTGTTTTGTTGTTGTGTGTGTGCCTGTTTATGTTTTTGTTTGTTTGTCTGTGTGTTGCGTGTTTATGCGTGTTGGTGGTTGTGTGTGTGTGCTTGTGTGTTTGTGTTTTTGTTGGTGAGTGCGTAGGTGGGTGTGCGTGTGTGTGCGTATCTCAGGTTCACTCACGGGAACTCGCAGCTCCACGGTTCTTCGCAGCGGCGGGTACAGTGGATACAGCCAGGGTCCCGAGGATGAAGATCAAGCACCTCAAGACGACTTGGAGAAGGACCACCCGCATGGCCCCATCTCATACCGATTCAATTGCCGGCTTCCAGGGGCGTGCTGGAAGCCTGACTTCGCCACAGTCCACCTATTCACGGGGTTAATCTACCATGGTTCCTATATGTCTTGCTGGTTCTCAGTAGGGAATGTGGGCGTTCGGGGATCCCCCTTAAAGGAAACCACCAGTTGGACGGTTCACAGGGGTCATTCCATTTCTCATTCCCCGCCAAAGGCACGCAAGATCTTTCCCCGGAACTTGGATCGAGGCCTTCCCATTGATGGCACTTTTCTCGGCCCGTGGACACAGCGTCGCGGGAGGAGGAAGCTTCCCTGAGTCCAGGCACCACAGCAGAGCCGGAAGGCGGGCGAGTCGACCGCGGGCGAGTCGAGTCGAAGTCCGAGCAGAAGGAGCCAGACGTCTCCATTTGGTTAAGAAGATGTTTTATTTTCCCCTGTTGGGTTTTAAAAGGAAATTGGAAATATTTGTATTTTTTGCAGGGGAATCAGTAGCCATATAATCTATCAAGTTCAATAAAGAAATCCCAAAGTAGCCATATAATTTCATATAATCCATCAAGTTCAAGAAAGAAATCCCGAGAACAAGAACGCTGCCCTCGTTTTGCTACGGTTTGATAAATGCCTTGCGCTGCCGCTCTCTCTCCGTGCGGCACACACACAGGAACCTCCGTGCCAAATCGAATCGACCGTCCGATTCTCTGCCCGGCGCCTGGCAAGCTTAGTGCGTGCGTCTTTCAAGCGGGGCTGCATCTCCTGGCGAACTCGGGCTCAAGCAAATGGAAGACTTGTGCCTAGAGATCTGCCTAAAGGCCTCTCATGCGGTTCCACTTTGAACGTCTAGCAGTTTCCTTGATTGTTGCTCCGAGTTGGTTGTGCGCAACCTAGAGTACCCATGGTGAAACACGTCACGACATTGTATGCTTTATCTCAAAACATGGGAACCCCTAAAGTGAGTCAGTCTCTCTGTGGGTGTGTGTGTGTGTGTTTGTTTGTTTGTTTGTTTGTTTGTTTGTGTCCTTTCAAGTTCCCATCAAATAAACCCCTAGAAGAGTACCGTCGAAAGGGTACCATCAAAAGGCTGCGGAAAAAAACAAACTGAATTATTTTCGAGGAGTGGTTCGAAACCTTGGAATTGTGCCCCAGCAAAATGAAGTCCTTGGTAGCAAGCCGTGGTGCTCGTGAACACATGCCGCGCACAGCACCTGACCGCGACACCAAAATCACTAGCGCTTGTCACAAATGGGCAGCTGGTCATGTTTACGAGCAGCTCAAGGTATGGGGTCGGCCAGCAAGCGGGGCAAGTAGGAAGGCCCTGCTTCTGTCTGGCAGGGGATGACTTGCCTGCACCAAGCCAACCGTTTAGGGTTTAGGACCTGTTTCGGGTTTAGGTTTTGGTTTAGGTTTAAGCAACTGTTTCTGGTTCAGGTTTTGGTTTAGGGTTAAGCCCCCCCCAAGCCAACTGTTTAGGGTTTAGGTTTCTGTTTAGCATTAAACTCCCTCCCCCTGCCAACTGTTTAACTGTTTTGGGTTTGGGTTTGTGTTTCGGGTTAGTTTGTGTTTAGGGTTAAGACCGCTCCCAAGTTTAACTGTTTAGGTTTTGGTTTAGGGCTAAGACTGCCCCCCAGCCAACTGTTTAGGGTTTTGGTTTGGTTTAGGGTCAGTGGATGTATGATGCCCCTTAGATCAGTCAGAGGTGGCAGGCTCTCTCGGGCAAGCCACAAGGTCCGCCGTACTTGTAGCACCTTGCCACATTGTCAAACACCCGCCCTGGGACCACCACAAAGAACCCACCTCGGTCTTTGCTAAGATATAAGCTCTGGCGACGACTTGTTTTTTGCAGGAACTTGCTGAAGCCATGTCGCAACGCTCATGTCAGTTTTAAGGGTTCCTTGGGGGCTTCGGCCAATGCCAGTTGCCAGTCGCGACAGGTGCTAGTGCGACTTGGGTTTGAGAGCCGCTGACCATAGCTTTTGCGCAGAATCGGGCCAGCCGTCTTCCCAAGGGGCGAGAGCAACCTGTCTTGGGGTTGCCGTCCTTTGAAGCCAGGGCTCTCGGCTTGCCCGGTTCGGATCCAATCTGGTCTCAAGTCTTGACCGGAGTACCAAAAGGGGACGAACAAGTTGCAATTGGGTGTGGGTCAAAATTAAACCGCCAGGATATGGACCGCAGATCTTAGTCCATGTTTCCACTTAATTACCAGGGTTCCACCGATTTTAGTCCATGTTTCCACTTAGGGTTCCATTTGGGGCACGTATTTTTTTTGACCCACACCCATAGCCATGAGAACAGTGTGAGCCCTGGCCAACCCGAGCTGGCCCGGAATGAAGCCAGGCGAGCCTCGGCTCACAAAGTGAAGCCCAGGGGAACATCGCAGTGGACTCTTGACACTCCGCATAGGTGTCCTTTTTGGTTGGCAGAAATGCTCGAAAAATGGGATGGGTTTCCTTATTAAACCTGGTGGTTGTTTTTCTCATCTACCAGGGAAACCCATCTATTTCCCCTAAACGGACACCTATGCTCCGGCTGAGCCGTAAAGTCGTAAGGTCGCTTGGTCAACCATGTCTTGACTGCGATTGGATCTTTTTAGACTTTCACTTTTTGGAAGGATTCCACTATTCCTGGTCATTTTTAGAAAGATTCGACTTCTCCTGGTCAGTTTTAGAAGGATTCCACTATTCCTGGTCATTTTTGGGAAATCAAGTCGGTTTCCACTAAATCCCCAAAGAGTTACAGGGTGTCAACAGCAACCAAGATGTGTGCTCCTTGTACTTACGGCATCAGCCCGATGCGGGAGGACGGTGGAGCCATCCTTTCGCTGCTTCGACGGCCAGCTTTACGTTTGCTAGCCAGCCGCGTTCCACGAATGTTGCGGTGGTTTCGAGAGCCACTCACGGCCACCCCATGTGCCACCTCAACACCAAGGATGAACCCAGAACCACAACGATCGGAACATAGGTGCTGTTAGGATGTTGGGCGACCAGGACTCATTGGCAACTTCAGGCGAGGAGGGATTGGAATGGGTAGCTTCGAAATGCATCCTTCCCTGAAGCCAAAGTCAGGCAGCAGCTGTTTGTAGAGCCTCGCGTTCGCAGCTTGTGAACGCAGTCAGCTGCGCTAAGCTGAGCAGGTGTCAAGGAACAGCTCGATAGCGCGCCACGCAGGGGCGAGCTAGTTTGACGCCGAGGCGTGCCGGTACTGTAAAAAGCCAGGGCAGGCCATGCTTGACAAGTGCGATCCACTCTACATGCTGAAAAGAGACACAGGCATGCCGCGAGTGGGAAGTAACAATGTCACACAGGCCTTCTGAAGACCTGAAATGCGCTTGTAAGCGAAAGCTGCCGACAGGTTCAATCGAGCGTAGCACATAGTATCATTGCGCATTGAGCATCTGCAAATCTGGCGTGGTCTGAGTATGGGCAGCGCGTGATCCTGAGAAGTTGCTTGCCTTGCTAACCAGACAGGCCCACCCTGCCAGTTCTGCCCGTTCTTGGTATAGGATGCAGTAAGTCGCAAGAGTCCACAATGAAAAATGACAGGTGCAGCGGCACGGTGTCGTCTACACGTTCGTTGCCATGTGTTGCTCTCTCGCGCGAGTGTTGCGTTTGTGGGCCGAGTTGGCTGCAACATTTGCAGGCGCACGGTGTGACATGCGCCCGCTTCTGTAAATATACTTATAAGAATAATTGTGTTGATATAAACATATAATTATTGATTAGTTTTATAATTATTTGAACATATTCTATTTTTCATTATATTAATTAATACATTTATTATAGTTTGATTTTTGTTATGTTTTTATGTTTTGTGGGTTGTATTTTTTATGTGTTTATAGATGAATTGTGATATGTTGAATAGCTTTAAAATATATATATGTACATATATTATTTTAATTTTATTATTATTAGAAAAGTATATCGGAGATATTTTAATTATTATTATTGTTATTATTATTATATATATTGAATATATATATATATATTAATTTGGTGGTTAATTTTTTTAATTTTATTTTGTATTTTGTTATTTATTTGTGTTTTGTGTTGTTATGTTGTTTTTGTAATTTGGATTTGATAAAATATATTAATAATTTGTGGTTTTGATTTATTATTTTTAATATAATTTAAATTTGAATATGAATATATGATTAGTTTTGTTTAACCATATTTAGTTAAATGGTTCTGAATATATTATTAATAATATATTGGCTTAATATAATTGAATTAATTATAATATAATATAAAAATTAATTCGATAAATTTTTGGTTTGATTTATTCCGGATTTAGGAATTAGATGGTAGATATTGATTTTTAATAAATTGAATTTATTAAATTGATATTTGGAATATTATTGAATAGAATATTGCTTATTTAATTCTTAAAGGGTATTTATATTTATTTGTGTATTTTAATTTTATGTTTTCGTTATTATGGAAGATTATTTTATTATGATTCTTTCATTTTATGTTATTCGCTATCGATATGTTATATTGATTTTTGTGAATGATAATTATATGGGAGGGAAAATTAAAGATAAGCGGGGTCATCTTTAATAGCAATTATATTTAGATTATAAATAAAGATTTTATGTTTAATTGTTCTATTTTATATTTTTTTATGAGGGAATAATTCTATAGGAATATTTTATGTGTCTAGGCATTGGGAATGATAATGAATATTGATTATAATATATTTATATTTAAAATATTTATTCGGAATGAATAGAATATTTCTTAATGTATATATCGAAATCGATTTGGAGATTATTTATTTGACGAATTTTATGTATTTTGATTTCTAAATCTAAATATTGAACATTATTCACTTGACGAAATTTATTTATTTGATTTCTAAATAAAAATAAATATACATTATATTAGATCGTTCGCTTATATGTTCCCATCCAAATTAATATTAGATACGAGATTAAGGGTTTTTAATATATTATATAATTTTTATTCTTTTGATTAATATATTTTTATTATTCATCCCCCTTCCAAAAAAAAATCTTAATAACACATTCTAATATTTATATTCGATTATTTATGAATTTATTCAATTATTATATTATTCGGCAAATCATTAATATTTTATTAATTATATATAAGGTTTAATCTTCCTAAGTGTAATTTGCAAATTAATATATTATATATATAAAAATATAATAATTTTATTTAAATAAATATTTATATAAAATTATATATATTATTTAATCTATTAATATTAAATAAATTTAAATATATATATATAATGATTAATAATATATATATATAAATTTTAAAGATATTATATCATCCAATTACTATATAATTAATATAGATACATAAATAATATTAAATATATATTTAATATTTAATTATTCTTCCAATTATATAAATATACATATTATAATATCATTAAAATTATGTCTATATAAATAATTATATAAAACATATATATATAATTAAATCAATTATTTTAAAAATGATATTATATATAACAATTTAACAATAATACATAAAATAATATATCCTAATATTTAATATATATCTAATTTAAAACCAAATACACTAAATAAAGATACACAAACACAACAAATCAACATTCACACCCCCCTTTATTATACTCAAATATATCGCACTTAAAGCCTAATAAAATAGCCTATAATTGTTAATATAAAGATTTAAAATAAACAATATATAATATATTTTCCTTAACTAAAATCATCTTAAACTAAATAATAAATCTCTAATACATTTCAAAAATATACATAATAATTATTAATTTAAATATATATTTTTTGCACTTTACTAATTCAAATCCAAAACACAAAATCCAAAAAAAACATGGGATTAAACATTTCAGATTCATTCGGGAGAATTCAAATATGTCGTGCCCAAAGGAAACAGAATCCTTGAAGAAATGTGTACAGCAATTTCCAGGACGCGTGCTCAATACCCTATGACCCATGGTCTGAGTGGCAGCAAATAGCTTTGCACCATTATGGTGCCAAGTGCAAAGAAAAATTCAATTCGAAATAACAAATAAGCTTGGAAATTCTTATAGTTGTCGAGATAATATTAGATTAAGGGGGCGATGTTTGTTTTGAATGGCTAAAGGGCTGCAAAGGCTAAGCCTTACTAATACTAATCAATTTTGTATAAAAATACGGATTATACGAGGCCATCACAGAAGGTTATGTTTTTGACTTGAAAGATTCTTATGGTATTTCCCATCTCAAATCATAAAGAATTATCATTTTTTTCTTAGAAATTCGTGCACAATTTAAATACCAAAAGATGCCGGCATCCTAAGGATTTCAAACACAGTGTTTTTAAGGAATTAACAATTGGAAAATTAGCCTTTCACACTAAAGGCATGGCCAGGTACATTCCATTCTGATAAGTTTGTACGCCATATTTGCCACTAAAGAAATAGGCATAATGCCGGTTGAACCTTTCGTTCAGCACGAGCATACAAATAAGGGTAATTGCTAACCAAACATGGACCTATAAACAAATGGTTCTTCGTGATAAATTCCTTAAGAATACAGAGTCCTTGAACATCGGGAGGCTAATAACCATCCTTCCAATTAAACACTTTAAAATTCCAAAAATGAGGAAACTCAAAGCTAGGATACTGTTTAGAGGCGACGACATTCATGATGAGTAAAACAATCTTGCGATAATTTAGGAGGTGAAAAAAAAAACAAAAAACATTAGATTAATGGGTATAAATTTTAATCTCGTCTATAGAGTCGCAAAAGGGAATACCTCGCAGATGTTAGATATCGTTCAGGCTTATATACAATCCATTTTAAGGATAAAGATCCCAATGTGGGTAGAATTGCCGCCAGAATTAACCCTAGCCGAGTAGGAGCATATTAGGAGGCCATGTGTTCGACTCTAGAGAAACCTTTAACCCAGACTCGGGAATTCATTTGGATATGAAATTCAACAAATCATGTTTAACATGGGAGACCAATATCTTAATATAATTTAGTTCTCGTATTAGTTCCCAAAATCTTTGTAATGATTTTGTATATTGATGATATGGTTTTTCAGATCCATCCCATGAAATATAATCCTTTTGGACGGAATTTAAGAAATATTTAGAAATTATACCTCCAGCTAATAGAAATAGGGAATTATATAAAA